TTTCCTGAAGCAAACTTTCTCCCTATACCTATCCCAGTTCAACCTCCAACCATATAACACCAGAACCACCATTTTCTCAGCGGTGACATTTTTTCTTGGCGACATTTTGTCCGGCGACATTTTGTCCTGGCGACATTTTGTCCGGCGACAATTTGTCTGCTCACGTTCAGGGCAAGTGAGTGTGCCTCTTGCCAGTGGACAGCTATTAATCGATTCGACAGCGTTTCTTCATTATAGGCGTCTTATTTTCCTCTCACTCCGATTTCTCATATGTTTTGCACTGTTTCAATGGGGTTCAAATTTCGACAATTAGTATTAACCCATCACGTGAAGGTAACTTCTGGTGCAGATGCATGGAAGGCACTCTTCAACAATTCAACACAGAGTCTCGTACGTGAGACTCATGAAGTGACTGGTCTCCGATGTAAAAGTCAATTACAACTTTATTGTCAATAGAATTGTCAACAGCTCATGGAGTGGAATTAGCCACTGCATGTGATGAAAACAAAATATTCAACCACGGAGCTAAAGTCCGAGTAACCTGTATCACGATACTGAATTGCCGTTATAGGGTATGATGGTATAATAACAATAGTAGTAATGCATAGCACAGTATCTTGTTTGCTGTTTCTCCTGTCAAGTCTACCAGCAAGACAGGGTGATATAGCAAACAAACTGCAATCACAGACGTGATAAGAAGAAGCATACTGGAGGAGAAAGGAAAATCGTTGAAATGTAAAAAATACTGCAACGTTGCAAAAACAATGCATTTTCATGCTGAAACATTTGCAGATTGGTGATCCTTTTTCTTTCTCTTCACTGTAGCGCCCCCTATCAGTCCAATTGGATGGATGGACGATGGACAACAGTTTATTAGATGAAGGAATAAGGTCCATCGGTGAGGGCGCTACAGTGCAATAGTCAGGAATCTCCGGATTTTCCTCCTCCACCCAAACCTCCTCCATCCTTTCCACCTCCTCCTACTCCCTCTCCACGGCCCACCTTGTACTCCAACCCGTGATCGAATTGCATCAACACGTATACCTGATATTCATGCGTTCATTCTGTGAATCAGTTGGGTAATCTTTAAACACAAATGCAGTGTTTTCTGCTTACCAGATCGGAAGATAAAAGCGGGAAATCACCCGGAGGATTCGTGATGACATAACGCTTGCACGAGACACTCTCTGAACTTGCATTCGTATCCTTCAACCTACAATATGAAAAACAGAATTCCAAGGATTCCATTTACAGATTTCTGTCACACCTCTGCTATCAAGCTGCTATCCATGCGATCATGCAACACGGAATCTTCTTTTCTCTAGTTTTTGGATCCTATTCACTTGAAGTACAACTCCTAGGTGCAGCCATTTCCTCAAAGGATGGGACAATTTTGTTGTCGATAATTATACAGGGTGTACAGCAAGTGACACTCGATGGGCAATTTGCCTTTTTTATATGTTGAAAATCACTCTTGGATCTGGTCGAATAATGAGTTAAGAGTCCCAGAACACTAATAATTTTATCGTATATTTATTTCAGCTAAAAAATTTTTTCTCTCGAGAAAGTGGTCTGGAATACCCGAGAGAAAATCGTTGAATTTGATATGAAATCCATTGCCGAGGAGCAAAATAATTCAAATAATTTTGTTACTCTGCAGCTACCTCATCCAAGAGCACAAACGAGAGGCTGATCGAGAAATTCCGAGAAACTGGTTCGGTGCAATACCTGTCTGAAGCAGATGGACCTTCTCTTGGAAGAAAATCAGGACTTAATGGAGATTGCGGCCGAGTTTGGTAACCCAAGCACACGAGAAATGACCGACCTGCTTTTGGATCAGCCTCTCCTTTGTGCTATTGAAAGGCACAGTAGCACTGATAAAATTGTGTTTTCATTTTTCATTTTGCGCATCGGCAAACTGATATCGCTTCAAGAAAATCATTCCTGGATTTTCGTTCATTTTTCAATCGGGCTTCCCATACAGCTCTTTCGTAATCATATATTGAGGAAAAAACCAGCCAGATAATCCATGTTCCGGGTTACGTAACTGATCCTTAAATAGACCATAACCTATAATGATTTTTACAAAGTTCAAAATAAGAGGCAACTTGCCCGCGTCACTTTCTGTGCACCTTTAATTTTACCAACTGCATTTATGGATCTGATATGAATTACGTGGTGACAGGGATGAGAATCGGCAATAGCTCACAGAAAATATACTTAAAATCTTAACCATGGTTAGGACGACAAGAGATGATCTACACGTAAGGTCCATGCATGACGATCTCATCCACAAAATCACTACACTCAGGGAGAGAAAGCGAGTTTCAAAGAGAGCATGACCTACAGGCACTAAATGCTACCATACGGTAGACCTACTGGTACCCTTGCGTACCTGTCTGGTCCTCCGCCATTTAGGTTGAGGGTTCTGGACAAGGAGTAGAGAAAGAAAAAAGGAGAAAGAGAGAGAGAGAGAGACAGAAAAAGTACATTTCATTTCATGACTTTCAAGCACGGACAACAATATTCCACTCCTCCATAATATTGATAGCACATTATCGACGTAAAAAAGGAATCTTCACTGAGTTGAATAAAGAAAGTCGGGAAAGAAAATCATCCATCCGTGCTAAGAAGAGGTCAATAAGAAGTAATGACGGAAGTGTTTTAGGATGCTCCGAGTAAGTGCTGGATCTATTGTCTACAGCAGGGATGTCAAACTCAAATCGGTTGGCGGGTCTCATTCCTAACATTGCAGGTATCTGCGGGCCGCACCCATAATTTTTCACCAAAATTTGTGCCGACAGTCAATCCTAGCGGAAATTTCTAGAACAGACGGCGGGCCGAATGAACCATGTCTGCGGGCCGTGCATTTGACACTCCTGGTCTACAGAATTGAACCGTCGTCTACGTCATGTCACTGCGTCTTGCGCTCGCCGAGGCGGCGCTAGAGTCGCCTATGAATCCATCCATCCTTCGTCTACGGATGGAGAGAAAGAGGAAGCCGAGGAATGTGCGATGGAGCGGTGGGAAATGGAAAAGCAGACCTGTAGAGCCCGATGCAGAGCATGCCGTAAGTGTTGAGAGCGGAAACGAATAGATGGCCGTATTTGCCGGTGTGTCCGAATCGAGCCAGTGGTCCATCCTTGAGGGAGATCATCCCCACTCGGCAGCGATCCCGGTTCTCCAAGCTCTCCGGAGTGCTGTCATTCACACGCACACAATCATATCCTTTCACGAGTATGATCGCTTTAACATTGCACCACAGAAACGAGCTCAGTCCAATAAAATGTACTACACTTGGAGAAGAGTGACGTCAAGCAAGATGTCTACAATATGAAGCCACACGGTCGATTTGAAGAAACCCTAAGGTTCACTTCTATCAAAATTGAAACGTCCACGATATATCGCATGAGATTTGTTGCCGCTCATAGCCACATTTGATAACGTCAGTCTGTTCTCTGAGTATATTATAGTGGGCTTCCTTTCATTAAAGAGGACTTCATCTTAACACGTCAATGAACAAAATACAGTCACACTATTTCCGATCTGTGTAAGTCGTTTCTCCATCAGATTTTGTTTAATTATATATATAATTGGACAGCTCGAATGACAGACACAAATTTCCTAATCCCTTCCCTCGGGAAGGAACAGTATTTCTGTTTGTTCTTGAGGAATGTTTAGGGTTGCCAACTGTTCCTCAAGCCTGGAGACTTTCACGTGTCATAACTCGTGTCTAGGGTCAAGAACGGTTGGTCAGACCACAATGCGATATTATGTGGTAATCTGGACCTGCTATGCCTAGCTCCAGAGGCATGCAATTGATTTTTGCCTCGGGTGGAACAGCTGTCACCTTTTTGGGGAACTAAACTGGTTATGGGGGATTCCTGCTGATCGAGAGAGAGAAGGGGGGGGGGGGGGAGTAGTACAACATTACGTTTCCGCCTCCTTGCCCCTACAAAAATGTCACCGTTGACTCAACGGTGATTCAACAGTGCCCACTGTTTAACTCCTGTTGAATAGATGTTGAAAACTGATGATTCAACAATGAATTACCGTTGATTTTTTTGTTTCAATTTCAAAAAGGTTGAACCTTTCTTGCAAGGGCGGATGTCCCAGACTTAGAGCAGGGACCTCAAACCCGAGCGGCCCCCAAACGCTCTCGATACGGCCCGTGACCCGTCTGCATACCCGAGAGAAAAAACGTTTCAGGCCCAATATTACACAATATGATCGAGGTAGTGGTAGATTATTCATTCTACACTTCGGCCCGCCGAGAGGTCCGATCTTGGAACAACGAAACGAGTTTGTGACCTCTGCCCTAGAGTGTACGCTTTCGCCTGACCTAGTGATAGCCTCGCCCAATAACTTCTTACGAAATCCGATGAATGCTAGGCCTCAGGATTGAGGTGCAGCTTTTACTGTGTCGCGCGGCCTTTTTCCCCCTCTCTTCGAGCGAAACCGGGAGAATCCCGGTCTCCCGACGTTCTTTGCAAACCGGTCGGAGGAAGGGGATGAAACCGAGAGCCTCTCGGTCAAACTGGGAGAGTTGGCAACCCTAGGAAAGGCCCATGGATAGATAGAAGATGAAGTGAGACCTGTATCCACCCCTGAGGCCAGCTCCTTCGGCGAGGATCAGTTCCAGTTCCGGTGTCGCTCCTCCCGTGATCAGGGACCGAATCAGGGTCAGGGCATTCTGGTTGAAGTACGTCTGTCGAGTAGAATGGTGTAAACCGCGATCGTCGTCGCCATCGAGTTCAAGGGATAGAGAAACATACGGTGGACATGAGGGAGTCGAGGACGGAAACGGCAAAAGCGGTTCCACATGCGAAAGGCTGAGTCAAGTACAGCTCCGTGTCCGGATCGTCGTCGTCGTCCTGGTCCAGGAACTGCACGTTGCTGTCGTTCACCAACTCTGTACCAATCAATCACCCCATTTCACCTCATCTCATCCCTTTCCCGTCACTCGGAGGGAGAAGAAGGCAAGGTGCACGACCTGTGATCATGGGGACGTTGCTGCCGTAGACGGAACCCCTTCTTTGGAGCACGATCGGACTCCCCAGCGTTCCCAGATTGCCTACGTGTTCATCATCGTCATCATCGATTCATCGATTCATGTTACAAATGAGGAAGGAGAAACGGAAACGAAGGTGAGAAATGTCTACTTTGCGAAAGGACGCCGATGGTATCATCGAAGGTCATTGCTTTGATATTTAGGGAGGAAAGGATGGCCTCTTTGTCGGCCAGCGTCGGGTCATCGTTGCTCGGGATCTTCGCAGACAGAATCACGCACATGTCACTGAGGTTCACGTTGACGGCCCGCAGGTCGGCCCGGCTCAAAGGAGAACCCTGTGAAATGGAAGTCGAAACCACGAACCGTCACCATCATCCTTACGCTTTCTTCCCGACCATGACCTCTCCACTCACGTTGAGGATGGAGATCTTGGGCAGGTTCTGGATCATCTTCCATTCGCGCCGGATATAGTCGACAGAGCCGACGATCACGACGTGTTTCAACTCGTGGTAATGGAAATTGGAGGCCCTCAACGGCATGACCAGGTTCCTCAGTCCGATCAGCGGGGAATCTTGATCCGCAAACAAGCACACCACCACGTGCCCGTTCAGCACCGTCATAGCCGCCTGGTTTCGGTCCTGCAACCATCGTAAACACCGGATCTTCCATCAAATTCCAGCCCGCAACAGTTGACATAATCGAACGAGGAAACCGGTGATAGAGAAAAGGGGACCTTAAGTGTCGTGTCTCGAATTCTGTTTTCGCGAAACGTCTATACTCTCAGGAAGTACGATACAATCGGATGATGAGACAACTAACCAGGATGCATTCCTCCATGGAACGAGCCGGGCACCAATGGAACATCCCTGTGGAATCGTACTTCATTTCCGTCATCTCAAAATCGAAATCCTGAGCTTGATCGTCGGCTATCCCAACCTGAAGCCCTCCACCATTTTGATTAGCATTGTTTCCGCTGCTATTCCGGGTTGTCGGCCTGATTTCATGCAAGCAAGAGAGAACAAGTATCCTCGTCATACCGGTCGACTGAATGGGGGACTCAAATGGCTATGAATGAGATCGTGATGATGCGAGCATCACATAATTTGTCGGGATTAAAATGGAAAACGTGGAAGGCAAATGGGAGACTTACATGAGTTTCTTGATTTCGTAGGCAAGATGATAACCAGCATACGTGGAGCCATTCGTATTCATCCTGTGAGACAGAAGGTGGAAAAGTCGGGAAGGGAAAGTAACACAAAATAGCGTTATTGGAGGTAAGACAAGAGAGAGCCAACGAGTGAGACAGTGAGCAAGTGAGAGGGAAAATATCGGAGCAGCGTTGTAATAGAAGAGGGAAGGACTCTTACGTGTTGGAGGGTTCGTGATTTTGTTTCTCATGAGTGTGATGGTTCATGCCCATACCGTGGACTCCGGTTTTGGGCCCACTCTTTTGCAATACCACCGCCGCCTTTAGTAACCCTTTCCCTCCTGTTCACACAGTCATCGTTCATAGATCACATTCCACAGGTTTATAGCATGAATCACCACCACAAACAATTTGAAATAAGGTTAATAATCCAAAAACTCACCAGCTGAATTGTGCTCCTTTCCCAGTTCAGCTATGGAGAAGTAGCAGATTTATTGATTAGAGACGATTGGGGAGCACTAAATTACCAGTCACCCACAACAACGATGACAAGAAGAGCCAGCGTACTGCAGCATGCCCTAACCATCCAGTGATTTAGAAGGGTTTTATGGCTTCGTCCTTCGCGAAAATGAGAAAATTTTCGGTATTTCACCAAAACTATTACTTCTCATGCGTCTTGTAAGTTACTGGCTGCAGATCTGTGATCGGATCCTTAACTAGGATATGAATTGTGGGAAATAGCAGAGATGAGCTGAGGTGGATTAGTCGGCTGAAAGAACTTCTGACGAGATGGGAAACATTTGGCAAAACGCAACAGTAGGAGAGGATAGATTTTATGCGATGATGAACCGCCAAGGGCAGAGCCAGTTTACATTCTCGCAACGACGATGCCTGGCCGTCCAACGCACGCTCCTGGAGCGTATTTTGTGGAGCGTATTTTGTGTTTCGTATGATAACCTGTGCTTAAACTGTGCATCCAATCTTGTGCCATCGCAGGAACTTTGACTCAGAGTGCTAGACAATGGTCACAATGCAGAATTTCAAGTACATGCTCCCGTTTCTCATGCATTCATAAGACATGCTGGGAATGTTCTCGTGGCATAAAATAATCCTATTGTATCTCACATTGCCTTGAGAGGGGAATAGAGGCAGACATGAGAGGAGAAAATGGAGGGAAAGAGGAAAGAGAATGGCTAAGTATGATAAGGAGGATGAGGGATGAACGTACTTGCTCGACCAACCATTTGCACTGCCCGGACGCCTTTTTTAAACAAGGCCACTATGGAATGAGAGAAAGAAACGAAAGAAACAGGCTAAGCGATGAAAAATGGGGATCAATAAGTATATAATTCCAAATAAAAATTAGGCAATCAATCAATCTATCCAGATGGTTGAATAAATCACTCAATAGAGGGCGTTCCTCTGCTTAATTAGATTATGACATACGAAAAAGGGTAATTCATTTTCCGCTTTTTTAAATAGTAATTTTCCACCATCGGAAATGCTGCCGCATTCCACGATTCTTGCACTTCAGATGGGAATTTCCGTACCTTTTTTTTCGAATATAAGCACACTGATTTGCTAACCAACATATTGTCATAGTCTTATTCATGGTGTTGGGTGGCTTCGCGTGGCCTTGCGGCTTACCGGGTGGGGTAAAACAAAAAAGTATTCTTGGCTGAGGAACAGGTATATTCCGATTCGAATGTATCCAAGTGCGATCATGATTGAGATGTCTGGAGAAAAAGTTCTGGGAAAGGTTGGTAAAAATCGTAAAAATTGAATTACTGTATTCTATGGATTTATTTATTTATAGTAAAAATTCAGTTTTCCGTGTTGTACATGAAAAATTGGCTTTGCTCTAGTTGGCTGAAATTCTGCTTTAAAAAAATTACATTTTCTGCGAAAGCGGTAAACGAATCGCCCTACTTGCGATATCTGCGAGTAGTCACCGTCACGGATCGTGGAAGGCTAATCGGGGTTCGGAAAAAAGCCACCCGGAAAAAAGACCCCCAGAATTGACAAAAGCGGAAAAAAGCCACCCGAGATGAAAATGCAAAAAAGCCACCCAGGTCATTGCTTAATAATTTCTCATTTATATATATTTATACATATCAGATGATTAAAGACATTCACTTGGCGACCTTAAGACACATTCATGCAGTTATGTGACTGTTATCTATGTTTTTAATATTCAATGAATTCCCGTGTGGCACAGATACGTCGATTCGACGTGGAACTTAGGTGGAAAGGTAGATGGCAGGGGTATATGCTGTCATGTCTATGAGACCGGCTTTGCGGAAGTTGAACGCTCGGCCATGTGCGCGGAGC